TCTTTTCATTCCACATGAGAGCAGTGGTACAGGATTTGATTCGATTACATGGTAAATTTCGTCGTAAACAGAACAGACAAAAAAGCGTGAACTGAAAAGCTATTGAGCACTGTACAGTTGTTTCGACCATGCTTGATCGTATCAGCAGCAGTGCGTGAATCCATCGATCCAACTGTGGATCGAATCGGGGATCTCACGAGTGAAACGCAAGCATACAACCCACTCGGACATTGGACAACTCACTGATCGAACCGTTATTTCATTATTCCTGTGCACAACATGGCAAAATTATCTCTCTTCCTAACACTAGCCCTCAGGATTACGATTCGGTTGGGAACATTTTGGACCTGACTATGAGAGAAGACAAAATGGAAAACGGTCTGCTTAGTTACCCAGTGATTCATTGGGTAGTATGGCTGCGTCCTACCTCCTAGGTCTCGGGTTCGATTCTCAGCTGGGTTGATGGAATCACCAACTGGTTTACTTCTGCCCTGACATTCAATGAACTTGTCGATCAATCCTATCAGGTATTTCGAGGATCCTAATCGTAGCATCCTGTTGGCAATCATTGTTTGACTGTTAAGAATTCGATACCGCTATCCAGAGAATGTTTTACCCGGAATTACTGTTTTATCCTGACCGTAAAATTATCACTTGGATAAACAACGTGCAAAAATAATGATTGTATCTGAATAAAGTAGCGTAACTATTTACCGTACCTAGTGTGAATTCAACCTAACCGCTCTGTCTAGCGAATGCGAACGAAGTAAACGGTACTTTGTGTTACCGTGTTCCGAATGAAGATGTATATTTTTGATCGGACAAAAGGTTTGCTTCTGTCAACTAGAGTCGTCGTTGTGTGGCTCCATGGAGCTGTCCCCGAACGCGACAAAAAACGACACAAAAGGAAAATGGTTTGAGCTTACCATTCTTTGCCATACAGGTCGTTCTTTCGTTTCTCTCTCCTTTCCTCGATGTGTGTGTGTGTGTGTGCGTGCGGAACAACACCAATTGGAAACGATTCCTTTGGGACAGGATATGGATTATGTGATGTCTCACGTGGACCAAATCAATCGGCTAACCTAAGCAGTCGATGGAT